GCTAGTACTTTTTGAAGAGCCATAAAAGTGCATTTCCGTCTCTCAGTTTTCAAATCTATATGTCGCAGCCGATTATGAATGAAATTTTTTGGTAAATCTTTCTAGTAGAGCAACTCTTTAATGTATGAAGACAATATTATATCATCCTGTAGCGAATGAAATTCTGCGTCGATTGGTACCAAATTTGTGAGTTTGGGTTAAAAATTACCGGCGCTACAACGTTTCATTCAAAATCGGCGGAACCCCCGTAGGCGATTATGAATGAGTGGGTCTAGGAGCGTCCAGCCATCATGTATTTGGTATCATTCAACGCAGAATCATTAATAATTATGTTAAATTTTTAAAATTAGAAAGATTTGATGGGGCCTCAAAGTTTCCTCTTGAACAAAGAGTTTTTTTGCTCTAATTTTTTTTCTTTTTATCCAATCTTTCTAATTTTAAAAATTTAACATAATTATTAATGATTTTGCGTTGAATGATACCAAATACTTGATGGCTGGACGCTCCTAGACCCGCTCATTCATAATCGGCTACGACATATTCATAAAGTTCATAAAAGTCTACGACAGAATTCGACACTGTCAAAGATGCTCTCGACCAGCCTTCTTCTCCTTTGCCTTTCATCAACTCTCTGGGGTTTCCCCGGTCAACTGGTAAATTCAGCTGGTTAGTGTTTGGTTTAACAGTTTAGGGTTGAAACAAGACTCTTCTACGGGCTCAGATTCACGGTCTAGTGGCCAGGCGCTGATCCGATACTAATTACACCTGCAAATCCGACTCTCTTGGAGAATTTTGCTGTGAACTTTAGAATCACATTCACAGGCAAAGTTTTCAGAGAAAATCCATGGAAAGATATCGAAGGTGTAATTAGTATCCCTCCCTAAACCGTGGATCTGTTCCCGTCGGCTAGGTCTGGTTAAATACAATAAATGCGACATATACGAAACTTTAGACTGTTCTCCAAATACGTGCACCTGCAAAACAAGCGGTGATTTTTTCATTTATTGAATATTATATACGAGCTTTTCAGCCGGTCTCACACCTCTCCTTCGTTCATGGAACTGCCAAATTGGCGATCATTTTTACACGACAAATCGTGATGAGCAGCTGAATTCAATCGGAAAAGGCTACGTAGTAGAGGGTAGGGTCTCCAAAAAGTGTTTCTCACTGCAATTCACTAACACGAATAGGATGTAGATCTGGTTCGAGCAGGATATATATAAATATATAATATGTTTTGCTTTTGACTCCATCCTGTTAAGGTTCTATCTTTTCAGCCAATATGGGCTTCATTGGTACGGTGGCGGGTTATGGCGGGTGCATCGGAATGGTGCAAATCTATCGATTGGTGTCACCTACTGCGAGTAAGATTTGTAGATCGATAGTTTTGCATTACCATTCATCGATTTCGAGAAACAGAATACAAATAACGTTTTCTAGATGATCACTTCTATACGACGAGCTATGATGAAATGCTGAATATGCTCAAAACGTACAACCTCGAGGGCACAATGGGCTATTGCATGTCAGCGCCTGGCTGTGGTCTGGTGCCACTACATCGCTTCTGGAACCCGAGCATCTCAGGTAGTTGTTTTCGACTAGGTTGTTCATTCAATTAGCTCGATAGTAGCGTGCTTTCAGAAAGTCTCGCGGTCGTCTTTAAACATTCTTTTGATTCCTATTTCCAACTTAGCACTAAGACGCTTACATTTAAATATATTGACAATTAAATATATTTAGTTCAAGTTTTAGACCATTTCTATACAAGCGATCAAGTGGAGAAAGATGCTTTCTTGCAAAACGGCGCCTGGAAGTACCAGGGAATTCAGTGTTACGTCTGGGAGTCAACTGATGTAAGAAGTTGCTGAAGTGTGGCTATTGTGTTCACTTCTTGTATTTATTCTGCAGATTTTCACAATATTTGCATCTTTTATTGAATAAATCGCTATAGAAGTGTTTCTCCACATAATATAATTTAAAGCAGCATTGCATACGGTTTTGAGTGACTGCTAAAACATCTACACACTAGTAGATTGACTAATCAGCCTAGGAATCCGATAATTACAGATGATTTTAAGCTCAAAATGAGCCGAAACACAGACTAGTATGTAGGTGGACTAAAAAAGAACTCAATTGTTTGAGAAGATGGACAGATTCTAATTGTTTTTAAGGCCGCGGCACGTTGAAACATGATCTGCCAAGTTAAGCAAGTTTTAGTGATAAGAGCCAAAGAAGGGTCAGCTTCTAGGAAAATTTTTAGAGATTGTCTATTAAAGGCATGCAAAATTTTACTTACCTTGTCAGATTCTAAAACGTGGGGCCCAGAAAGGGAAGGGTCTGTGGTCGACCCCGTCCGATCTGCCAAGTTGAGCAACGTCGGCGCGGGTTAGTCGTGGGTTCGACTCCCATGGGTTCCCCTCCGAGCGCCCCAGCCCGGCCATCGGAGTATCATCGGCTACGACAACTACACTTCTGCCTCAGTAAATGTGGAAGCGGGTTGTGATCAGCGCTAAGTGCGAAGACAGATCAAATCATTATTATTATTATTATATTATTCTAAAACGTTTTTAAAAAGGTTCGCTAGTACCCCATGTGAATTCTGAGTTTCAATATGCTAGAAGTCAAATTCTGAATCTAGTGCTTGACCTGATTTTACTATTGTGTTCCTGTTCGGCTCTTTTTATAATTCCCGGTTGAATCAGTTGATTTTTGAATTTTGTTGCCAATGGTTGAGTAATGACCGAAAAGAGGGCCCTATACAGATTCAGAAATAGCCTGTACCAAGAATGCCAACGGCAATAACAGCCCAGGTTGTTAAGGGGTTGCTGTTATAGGCCGGTGATCCTACGAGAAAAACTTTCTGAAGCTATCTTTTTAGAATTCTGATTTCCTAAATCCACATGAGGCCCGGAAAAATAGGTTTCCGAGATGCTCAAAGTAGGAAAATTGCACCTTAGTTTTCTCTCCATTTCTCAGCTCCAAGCTACCATTTCATTGCACAAATCGCACATTTGGAAAAATGTCTCCAGAAAAACGATTTATTTGTCCACATGAATCAGTTGAAAACGTCCAGAGCCAAAAACGAGACAAAAATTTGGTGATAAGATGGAAAATTTTTGAGGGGTCAGGTCAAAGAAGTTGTATAGTTCAGTATCTCCAGAGAAGCGGCAATCTGCTCACGAGTCAGCAGATAGATAGCCACACTTTGAACTGAAAATGGAATCTTCTAGACATAGACAACTTTTGGTGATAAGAGCGAACACGTTTGATGGGTCAGCCCGAAAAAGAAGCTGTACAGCTTCTAGGACATTGATGACTTTTTTTTGGCGTTGGCGACTAATTTTTATGGCTAGATAAAGAGTATTCTAGTTTAAATTTTGCCAGAATCAAGAGCTTTCACCAAAATGCTCTCGACTCTCCCTCTTCTTTCCCTCAAACTAAAACTCAAACTTTTGCTCAAACTCGGATCAGCAATACATATAACGAAAGATAGGGTAAAGTTAAACTTCTAGATTTATGAGAAAAAGAGTGAGGAAGGCTATCCTTTCTTTTTGTATAGGTGAGAGCTAAGCTGTCCTTCCTAAGCTACGAAAAAGTTTTATTTTCGAAATGAGTCTCACCTAGAAAAGGGTTGACTCATGAGAGCATGCTTGGCTAAAAATCAACACGATTCTGGCAACGCGATTTGGTGAGATCCTGCAGCTGTAAAAGCGGCGGTAACTTTTTGTGTCCTGGCTTAAGTTATTTGTTCATCCATTCAGCCGCTCTGACGCCACTACGCCGTTCGTGGAATGGAGAGCTCCAAGACCACTTCTACACACCAAGTCGCGATGAGCAGCTGAATTATGTGGGACTCGGATACAAAGTGGAGAGTTGGTTTACGGCGATCTACTAATTTAGAAAACTAGCACTTCAGAAAATTTTTTTATGCGCAACAGTCTTGTCTTACAGCAACCCTTAATAAACTTGGGTGCTAGAAACAAAGAAAAAGTTAGGAAGTGATAGTTTCCAGAATTAGACCTCTCTGAATTGATAGATCCCGGTCTTGCCAGAAACGTAAACTTCTAAAGTCAATCATGAATATGATGAAAGTCAAAGTTGCAATTGCGCACTTCCTCCGGCAGAAGCGCATTTTGGTTTCAGAAGAAAGAAGATTGAGCATAAAAAGTTGGGTAAGTAGCCGACTTTTCAGCTTCATCCATTCAGTTGTTTCCTTTGTATGCTTATTTTACAAATTGCTAATAAAATAACAATTTATGCGCAATTTCTCTGCAAAACAAAACCTAATTAACATAAAACTTTAGCTAGAAGTAACAAAGATTGTTTGGATATTCATTTCTAAATGAAACTTCGAAACAAAGCCTCAAAACTTATGTAGCAACCTAATAATTATAGCAAATGGATATTTTCCCGTTTATTTCAGTTCGTAAGCGTACCACTGACGAGTTGTCCAAGTCCAAATCAACCCAATGAGAAGAGTACCGAATTTACTACTAATATGTGGATTCGCCTAGAAATTCTGCATCTTTTGATTCTGATTTGTTACTGAAGATCAAAGATCAGTTTGGCTCGCTTAATCTTAGAAAGGGTCTTAGAAATTGAGCGCAGTGGTCAAATATATTATTATTAATATTTATTATGAACATATTTTTAATTCTTAAAGACTTAGTTAGGCGAGCAGAAATGTTAAACTTTATCCATTTAGCCGACATGGGATTCATCGCTTCGGCAACACCGAGTGACTGCACCGGGATCGTACCCATCTATCAAATGTTTAATGCAAGTACATATTATAAGTAAATCTTGAATCTTTTAAAATTTTTTATTCAGATGATCACTTCTACACGACATACTATGTTGAGATGCTGAACAGCCTCAGGTGGTACTCCCTTCAATCAGCGGCAATCGGTTATTGTATGCCTGGACCAGGGTGCGGTTTGATCCCACTGCATTGACTGTGGCACTCGGGAATCTCAGGTAGGAACACTTTGTGGGGAGGAGAACTTTGATCTAATTCCTTTAAAGAAATGAAAGTCGGATTTTCTTGTTCAGCGTTTTTCTGAGAGACGGAAAGTTTCATAGGATATTTTCCATAATACTTTTGTAAAGCTGAGAAAGCTCTACAATAATTGAAAAGAAAACGAAAAAACCTCTACAATAATGCATTATGCAAAAGTATATACAGATTTGAAAAATCTCACACCTTCCAATTCAATAATCGAGAAAATTAGTATAATAAGCACAAGGACTTCGGAATTTGTATTGTTTTCAGATCATTTTTACACGATCGATGACGTGGAAAAGGACAGAGCGGGATATACCTATGAAGGAATTCAGTGCTACGTCTGATCGTCGCTCGATGCGACCGACTGTTGATTTCGTTGTTTTTGCTCATTTTTATCAAAATTATATGGGAACTTCATATACATTACTCATACTCGATTTTGGGTTTTTTGTCTTATAAACCTTTTGGTAAATTTCAGTAAAGGAAATACCAAGTGTTTATGACAAAAAGAAATGAATGAGCTGCTTGGTCAACAACTAAGCATTCTTCCTTCAAATGAGCCCATAGATGCTTTATTACGTTCAAAACCGGCGAATATGGAAGGATCTTGATCAGTTCAATACGATGCGCAGCAAGAACGCCGGGTATTTCGTTCCATTTGCAAACCGACCAACGCGTCCCATGAAAAGCTGGCTCTTGTGGCACGGTGCGTTGTCTTTATATAAAGCTCATCCTTGTGGCACGTTTCCATTGGCAAATGGCAACAAATGATTCTCCAGGATCGACTTGTATCCCTGGGCATCGAAAGTTCCATTGGTCAGCATAATCGGGCCCGGTAGATCTCGAGACATTCCACCAAAACGAGATACCTAAAAAAATTACAAATGAAAACAAAGACAATTCTCTACCCCATAACACGAAGTAGTATTTCAATTTATATGCGCTTTTTGAAAATTTGATAAATTACTGGGCTTTGTTGCTTTGCGATTTGAAAACTAGATGAAAAAGGCTATCCAAAGCGTTAGTTTGTTTTTTACATTTACACTAGCGACCAATGATATTTTTTTGCTAAATAAGTGGAAGGAGGCAATGGCCAAAGACTTTTGCACCACACTGTATTTAGGTAGATCCCTAGTTGCTCAACTTCTGGGTAAATTTTGGCCTAGAAACAATCGACTAAATTGCTCTCATCTCTTCAGACTTTTCTGGAAGTTATTTTACTTTAGAAGCTTACGTTTCTGGCAAGACCGGCAAGACTTTTGCCCGACGGTTTATAAGCAAAATTTGTCGTTTCTATTCGGTTCGAGGCGCATTTTCGAAGCGGTCAATCGGGCACGGTATTTACAATTTGACCATGATGCTTTCGGGCTCAAAAATACCTTTTCAGCAAACGCTGGGAAACGACTAGATCGTTTGTGCAAAAGATAATTGATTTGACAATGATCATACAGGGCGAAATCAAATGGGCGGACATTTGGTGTCGATTTATTCAAAGGACGTCACGATTCACTATGCGTTTCAACTGTTTTAAACCAACTAACAAACAAATCAAAAAGATTAACTCTTGAAGAAAAGATTAAACGATCCTATGATATAAAACATCTTAAAACAATTTTATTCAAATTAATGCTTACTTCTGAAAAGACTTTGATGACAGATTATTATCTTTTTACTTTTAATACAGTTTTTTCTGTAAAAGAGAATGGATTCATGAAGGATAATTGAAGTGTCGTCAAAGTTGGCGATAAGATTTGATTTGGGCAAGTCCAAGTGAGATCACTTATTTGCTACGGCTGTCGAGTATCTGTTTTAAACTAACAAACACACAAATCAAAGACTAACACTTGAAGAAAAGAATAA